GGCTTTTCCTCTACCCTCCCACAGCATCCTCCCTGAGCCTTCAATCAAAGCACCTACGATGCTATCTTTCTGTCTTTCCCTGAGGGCTGGGACCCATTGCATTTCACCCATTTATCCCCATGGCCTAGTACATGCCTAGCACAACACAGCAATTAAATAAACCCTGTGAACAAATTAATTGTGGAATAGCCTGGGTTCCATGGATGGTTATACAGGTTGTGCACTGCACAACCACGTGCAACATTCCTGAAAAAAGACAGGAATTTATTGATTGGCTGGGTGTTTTGAATAGCCAAGGAAAAGTATTTGACCATTGCATGCCCTCTACCTGGGAAAATCACATATCCTAACAACTTCTTAGGCCTTACCGCATGGTCGCATGGGGTGACATTCATACAGTTTCTCCAGCTCTCCAGTCTACCCACAAAGGAGATATTGTTTAAAGGGGCAATCTTTCCTTGACTTCCACCAGTCTTTTCTTAACTTGACCCAGGTAATCTCTTTCACTGCTTACCAAAGATATTTCAGCTCCAGGTACGCTGTTTGCAGAATGGTGACATATTCCATTAGGCAGGCAGGACCTAACACATATCCTCTCTGAAGCCATCAGAAATTGTGCCAGTTAAACCTGGGCCTGGCAAGATCCCCAGGCCCCAGCGTGTCTCAGAATGCCCAGCTCTTGCTGTCTGCCATGTCTCAGAACACCCGCCATCAGGACCAGCCAGGAAGAAGGAAGAGTTTTCATCACAAGCACACTGCAACGGAGGGGGGCGTATGTTGAGTTCCCCTCAAGAACCATCCAGCGGCACAAGCTTCATGGAGACTAAGGGATTTTTCTAGGGTAACTGGTTTTCCAGCCTTATTACTCAGGTCATGAGAGAATCGCAGATGTTAGGTCTGGATGCACGCTTAGAAACCATCTGGCATGCCCCTCGCTTTACAGATGAGGATGCAGAAGCTCAGGGACACAGCCAAAGCTCAACTATCCATGGAAGTGACAGGCACAGAGGGTCAGAGAGATGAAAGCTCAGGAGGGCCTGTCACCACCAACTCTTCCCACCAGACCTGTGCAGAGGAACCTAACTTAGAAGTCAAACCTTTTGGAGAACCCCTCCAATGTACCCATCACTCCCCACAGCCCCTCCACACCATGCAGGCAGGTCGTGTGCTGTTAGAAAACGACATTCTTACTCAGAACTCCAGGCCTTCGCTTCTGCAGTTCCTCCCACCAGGAATACCTTTTCCCTCCTCTCTAGCCAGATCTTATGTTTCCTTCAGGGACCAGCTCCAGTGCCACCTTTGAGAGGGACCTCCCTTCTTGTTATCCTACAGAGTGAATGACTCCCTCCTTCACACTCCTCTGAAGGTGACAAACTTCCTTTAGGAAGGTGATGGAGTTGTTTTTCTGCCTGGAACACTTTCGTGCTCATCACCCTCAAATTTCAAGCCATTGTCTCCTCTTTGTCCTTCTGGGTCTAACTCAGATGCCACTTCTTTCAAGTAGCCTTCCCCAACCGCTTCCTCTCCCATTCTGCCTTCCAATAATCCTGCTTATTTCCTTCTCCGTGTTCGTCACCAGCTGTAATTTTACATTTGCTCTTTGTGTTCGAGCAGCTGTAATTTTACATTTGCTCTGACTTATTGCTTATTAAAAAGTATTTATTGCACTCATGCTACATTTCAGTCACTTTCAGACGCAATGGTAACAAGAAAGATGGGACGCATGCTCTCAGGATGTTACATCTTGGTACAACTGAGAAGAGAAACAGGAAACACCACAGACACTATGATGGACAATTGCAGACGGTGCCAGGTGACAGATGAGGTAGTAAATGCAGGCAAGGGGTTCAGGGCAGCTTGGCCAAGGTCCGCACCACTACTTAGTGCCAGGAAAGCATGCACCATGAGGACGAGGACTCTGTACCTGGGCTGCTAGGGCACCCAAGAGGCCACAGGCAGGCCATGCACATTCACTGAAGATATTTGTGGGCGTTCCTTTTTCATCTGCCCATCACCAGACCCTGAGCTCCCCGAGGGAAAAGATCACTTATGATTTCTCTCTGTACTTCCTATACCTGACCCATGGCAATATGAGTGTGTCCCCCCAAAAGACCCATTCTCCATCTCGTCTTCAGGGAGCATAAAGCAGATCAGAGAAGGTAAGCTGCCTTCCTCCTCTCACTCGGTGCAAGAAATGTTGCACAGCTGCTCTATCTACGGAATGTGACAAAGGACCCTTCCACTTGGCTTAGCTCATCAGTGCCTTGCCAACTGTGTATTGTGGCTCATTTATTCATCTGATACACCTTTATTGGACGTGCACAGATGTCAGTGGCACTGTGGATCACCATAACTCCTCAAGTGGGAGCTATCTCAGCCTCCTTCCAAACCGAGCTCCTCCTCCTGAAATCTGATCCCTCCCTGGAAGCACACGGGAATCTTGCCTGCCTGGGAGACCACTGTATCTCCAGTCCCTAACACACTGCCATGCTTACAGCAGGGACTTAGTCAATGTTTTGCAAATAAATGGGGCCCTGCTGAGGACTCAGGGGTGGGGTGGGGAGATACATCAGATTGGTGGTGCAACAGGATTTGTTTGAAAGGCAGGGATAGGCTGGGCGCGGTGGCTCATGCTTGTAATCCCAGCACTTTGGGAGGCTGAGGCAGGGGGATCACAAAGTCAGGAATTCAAGACCAGCCTGGCCAACACAGTGAAACCCCCGTCTCTACTAAAAATACATAAATTAGCTGGTTGTGGTGGCGGGCACCTGTAATCCCAGCTACTCGGGAGGCTGAGGCAGAAGAATCACTTGAACCTGGGAGGCAGAGGTTGCAGTGAGCCAAGATCGCGCCACTGCACTCTAGCGCAACAGAGCTAGACTCCATCTCAAAAACAAAAGAAAGAAAAAAAGAAAAAGAAAAGAAGAAAACAAAGGCAAGGGTTTCTGAGTCTATTTAGACTGGAACACCAACCACATGCTTTTGGGCAGTCACTTGGAGCCCTTGCCTGTCACTATAACAGGATGCTGCTTTCCACACAGGGTCCGTGTGCTTTAATCAGAACTGCATATGGGAAAGCTCAGCAAAGCCATATGGCCATATACACAGAAATGACGGTGATAGTATCCCCATGACTGAGAGCATGGCAAGAAGAAACTGGAGGAGTTTCCAGATTTCTCAGGGGATGGGATTCCCACTCATGGTTTAAGGCACAGAATCAACGTTGTCTCTCTAAGAAGCCTCCCCCATCCACTGGAGGCCCTGGGGTGCATCGCCGAGTCACAGCACCCGCAGATTCACTGCTGTTATCTGCTGCGTGTCTGACTCCCCCACTACCTCGAGGGGTCACTCAGGACCAGAATGGTGTCTTGTTTATTTTGAAACCTCGGCTCATAACAGAAGGCCCTGGCACATAGAAAATGTTGTGTAAACTTTTGCTGAACTGAATTCTTATTCCAACCTTCTCTCAGATTTATTAAAGACACAAAAGGCATGTCTGTAGACTGAAGACAGTTTTGGCTTCGCACCCAGCTCTTGGTCTATCTCAGTGTGCACGGGCCAGGATCCGTAATGATGTGTTATGGAGACGAGTGACGTTGTTGGATACTGAGCAGTGCGTTCAGGCTGCATTCCTGTGGGCACACACTCAAGTCCATCATCCCTCAGGAGAGGCCGAGTATCGCACTGGAACGCACACAGCCTCTGGAACCAGACCCCGGGCCGACGTGTGGCACCCAAGCGTGGACAGTGGGGTCCTTCAGCGAGGTACTTAAACTCTCTGTGCCTCAGTTTCTGTTCTGTGAAATGGAATGGTAATAATGCCTGGCCTCTGGGGTCATAGGGAGGATTAAATGAGCTAATACACGCAAAGAACTGAGAAAGCACTGACACGTGACAAATGCCGTATGGGTGTCAGCTATTGCTCCTACTGAGGCAGGACACACAGTGGCCTGGCGGGAGGGGCAGGGTTTGATGTTGCAGGTGTTACTGGAAGCCTTCTCCTTGCCTGACTTCCCCAAATATTTCTTCCACATCCTCACCTTGGTGGCTTTTGTGATTTTTTTTAAAAAAAGGCAGTAGACATAATGCCTCCCAGGATTCTGTATCCCCATCCCCAACCATCCTCAGTCCTTATCTGGGTGGTCAGGCCCACGGCCCCTGGGGTGCAACCCTGTCACTCAGCTGGACTCCAACTCCTTGGTGACCAGCACAGAGCCTAGTGCCAGGTCAATACTTAGAATACGGTATGTGGATGGGCCACTCCTTGTTGCCAGACTGGCTGGGGCTACAAGTTCTATATAAAAGAGTTCTCCGTGCGGAAAAGAGTAAAATGCATAATTGTGGATCTGAATTCATCCAAAGCAATTATGGTGAAGCCACCCCTCTGGTCAGTGACCGGTATGTGCCCGCGGCTGGTTTAAGGGTAGAAATGTGGCCCAACTCTGTTGGCTGTGACAGGAGAGGGAGAAGTCTCCCAAGAGGCATGTGGGGAATGTCTCCTTGGTCTAAATTTAAAAAGAAAAAAAAAATGCTTGGCAGGAAATCAACATCTTCTTCCACTGAACGTTCTTGTAGAATAAGGGGTCCTGAACTGTGGCATTTACGCTACAACCATGCAGTGGGCCTGCGACAAAGATGCAGGATGAAGATGGGGCTCGACGATGTGGTGGAGCCTCGAAGCCAACCGGCCCACGAGCTCTCGCCGCATGTTCTTGGAGATGATGCTTTCACCTCCTTGGCTGAGCTCTTGGGGGTTGCTTTTTCTGTTACTGGACCAGTTAGGATGTATTTGGCTGACAGTCAGCAAAACACCAACTAGCCGATGATTTAAATCAGGAGATGGCAAGCTTTTTCTGCAGGGGGCTAGAACATAAATAGTTGAGGCTTCCGGGCACACAGCCTTTGTCACGACAACTCATGCCTATCCCTGAAGCGCAAAAACACCACTGATGAAATATAAGCACGGGGGTAGCTGTGTGCCAATAAAACACAATTCGCAAAACCAGGCAGCAGTCTGGGTTTGGCCCACATGGTTTAAGCCATGAAAACATTCATTGTTTACTTAACAGAAATCCCTGGCAAGATCCCAGGACTGGCTGGGTAACTGTGACTCAGGCACCTCTGCAGTTTCCCGTCCTTCCTCCCCAGGCTCCAAGGTGGAATGGACAGGAGGCTGAGAGGGACCCCAATGTCCTCCTCGCTGCCCGGCACCCTGGCCTTGCACTCCATGTGCCATCCTCAGTGGCAAGGTGAGGTGCAGTCTCGGCTTCCGTTGTGAGAAATGAGCAAGCGGGGAAATGGGTGGGGACAGCTCGGGGGAGCTGACCAAGAGCGTCAGCCACCTGACTTGTCAAGGAGACCCAGGGGGCAGTGACTGAGAGAGGAGGCCAGCCTGGGAAAGGAGCCAGGTGCACCAGCCCTCGCCCTGGGGCCAGGACGGCAGCTTCCATGCCAGAAGAAGCAGAAAACTTTTCTTTTTTTTTTTTTTTTGAGACGGACTTTTGCTTTAGTTGCCCAGGCTGGAGTGCAGTGGTGCGACCTCAGCTCACTGCAACATCTGCCTCCTGGGTTCAAGCGATTCTCCTGCCTCAACCTCCTGAGTAGCTGGGATTACCAGTGCCTGCCACCATGCCCAGCTAATTTTTTATATTTTTAGTAGAGACGGGATTTCGCCATGTTGGGCAGGCTGGTCTTGAACTCCTGACCTCAGGTGAGGCCTGCCAAAGTGCTGGGATTACAGGCGTGAGCCACCGCACCCAGCCAAACTTATTTTTAAATGTTAAATATTAAGATTCAATTAAATTTCGATTACATTAATACTAATTTTACAACTTAACAAAATCACAAAGACAAAAGGAACACTCAGGAAATAATTTGAAGCACTCTCTCAGAAAGGAGTCTTATGATCTAATTGTAAAATAGTTAATACTTCACAAACTGCATTCACATGCCTTTTAACTGGATCCTCTTGAGAATTTGTGAGGTTTCAGTCCCCAGTTTGCAGGTGAAACTGGCAGAGTTGGGGGTTTAAACTCGGACCTTCTCAACTCCAAGCTCAAGTGTCTCTTCTGCTCAGTGCTGTTAGATTGCACAGTGCAGCCGACAGGTGGCTGAGCCTGTGGCATCAGATGCCAGGTCTGGGGCAGAGTTTCAGGAGGGACTGGAGAGAGCCACAGGACTGTCCTGAGAAAATCATCTTCCTGCTCTGCTCGGTGGCCTCTGGTCAGAACCAGGAGGGGAGGTGGAGACTTCCTGGGGACCCAGAGCTCAGCTCAAGGCAGCCAGGCACAACAGTCAAAACGGATGAGCTGTCACCCAGATGTGCTCAGGTGCAGAAGGAAGAGCCCTTGGAAGGGGCTTTGGCCCAGGTTCAGTGTCAAGGGCTCAGTTCCTAAGGCCCTTTTCACCCCAGAAATTTTGGGCAAAGGAGAGTCAGGGAGGCTGAGTGGTCCGAGGAGCTGCCCAGGTGGCTGGCAGGACCTGTGAGTCAGAAGGGTCAGGGCTTGGAGGAAGGGCATGGGTGGGATGAGGAGGAGAAGGCCACGTGGTCAGGGAAGCTGTGCCAGCCGCTCCTCATGGCTGAAAGACCTGGCGCAGCCAGGATAGGTAGGCAGAGACATCGCCTACACTCCCACCTTCTGGCTACCTCTGTTCTGGGAGAAGGAGGCAGACGCCCCACATCTGCCCTCAAGACACCCGGTGAAATGTAGAACAAAAAGGAGATGCAAAAATGATTCTCACCACACACTGACGCTCCTGCAGCCACACACACCCGCGCTCATACGCCCTCGTATATACTCTCACCCACACGCGTGTTCACGCTATCTCACTCACACAGTGCTATGGGGCTGAGTGTCCACCCAGATTCGTGCATTGAAACTTAGTAGCCAATGTGATAGAATGAAGAAATGAGGTCTTTAGGAGGTGATGAAGTTACCAGGACAGAGCCCTCCTGCGTGGGGTTGGAGGCCTTATAAAAGGGCTAAAGGAAGTGGGTTCATTCCCCCACAAGAGGACACAGCGCCCTCCTTTCCAGGGACTGCAGCAACATGGCGCCATCTTGGAATCAGAGGCCCCTGACCCTCCCCAGACACCAAAACTCCCAGCCTGCAGAACTGTGAGAAATCAATTTATATTGTTTGTGAATGACTCCGTTTCAGGCATTTTATTACAGCTGCCTGAATGGATTAAGACACACAGGCATACATTCACATTCACACACACACTCACACCCACACACTTACATTCATGAACACACTTATTCATATACAACCACATGGGCCAACAATTTTGAATATTTTGCAGATGAAAAACCGAGGCTGAGAGATGAAGAGGAGCCTCTACGGCCACAAGGTACGTTAAGTCAGAGCCGCACCCAGACCTGGGCAATGGACACCTGCCTGCTTCTCTCTCTTGCCCTCGACTCCCAGTCACTGATAGTTGTCCTGAGCAGTGAGTGAAGTCTAGGAGGAGAAGGGTCAGGGTGGCCACCATGGCCTGCGACCTGCCACCCACAAGCTGCTGCCCTCGCATGGGCCAGAGACACGCTTTCCATTGCTCATTACCTCGTGCTCCGGCGGCGCCATGGGGGCACTCTGAGGGGTATAGACGTTGATGTCGATGGCAGTGGAGAAAAGAAGGATGGGGTGGGAGTTCAGGCCGTGGGACAAACAGCTTGTGCTGCCTCCAGGGCAGTAGTAATGAGCTGGTCCGTGTCCTGTCAATGTGCACCTTCTAGGAATGAGGGCTCTTACAAATGAAACCCAGCAGGTAAAACACTCCCCTGAGTGTGGGCCCAGACTCAGTCTGAGGCCTTACGCTAATGGCTGGCTGCCTCAGTCAGGTGTCCCAGCTGCCTGGCTCCTCTCGAGAGATGGAGTGTGTGGAATGTGTGTAAGGTGGGTCCTGTTTTTAAGCTCAGTCCCCGCTGCTGAGGACTGGAGCTCGCAGGCACAGTGCCTCTGGGCCCAGAGATCCACGAATCAGCTGGGATCTGCATCAGGTTCCACTTCCTCCAAGCCTTGCCTTTGTCCCTGGCCTTGTCTCCCAGTAGGAAGGGTGTCCTGGGCACGGAGCTTGTCCTGGCCTGCCCATGACCCAGACCCTGGGCTGCATTTCTGCAGGGGAGACAGAGGCCTGTAAGCCACCTACAGCTTCTGTGCCTCGTGTGGGCCAGTCAGACCACTCTGAGAGGAAGAAGGGAAATTGCCTTGATGAGGAAAGTGAAATCTTTTTGAAGTGAGGGTGGAGAACCTGGGAAATCCTAAACAGAAATAGCGGAGGCTTGTTTGCAGATTTAGAAAGAGACGATCTCTCTGCCTGAGTGGGTTTTCCATTTGAGAGGCTGGTGTCAGCCGGTGTGTGCAGACCAGGCCGCCTCACAGCCATGCGAGTCTAACTGTAGCCCAGAACGGTCAGGTGAGCCAATTAAGTCCCTACAAACCCACCCCCTTTTCTTGGGTACGTTGGAGGGCTGCTGAGGAAAATGGAACCCACTCTAGAGGCCAAGAAACAGATTGTTTTTAATTCCCACACACTCCAAGCCAAGCCAAACCTCCCAGAAGTATTTAGAGAAAGGATTTATAAAGTAGGGCAAAGTCAGTTACAGGGACTCCAAGTACCCTGATAAAACCTTCCCAGTTAATAGAAATCACACGCCGAGCCTTCCCCGAGACCGAGGCTGCACCTTGGAGCCACGGGAGCCCCGCTGTGCTCGTTCTGGGGAGCCACAGAACAGCCTCCCTGCTCTCTATACGTGTGCTTTCATCAACCCCTCAAATTCCCAAGACTTCGTTCCAAGACATGACGCCTCACCTGAAATGACTCTCCTGGGCCTGGCACCTCAGACGCCAGGGTAGCCTTGGCACCTGAGAGAACATTCTGGATGAGCTGGTGACACCGTATGCCTGGTCCTCGCTGTCAGGTGGCCCCCGCTAACCTGTTGCCTAAGATCCTGCTCGTGGCTGAGCCAGCCCTAGACCACCCAGATTCAATAGGCAGACCCCACTGGTGAAGCCCCCGCACCACACTTTCTCACTTCACCAATTCTGTTCCCACCCCTCAGGCCCCTGCTCCACATAAATCTGACCCATTTATCCCTGGAAGATACAGCAGCAGCCACCAATCTGCGGCTGAATGAACCATGGTCCAAAGACAGGTCGGTATGGTACAGTCAGATATGTCGAGAGAAAGGGAAATCACATTCACGTAACTTTGTTACAATATATTGTCATAAATTGTTCTATTTTATGATTATTGTTAATCTCTTACTGAGCCCAATTTATAAACTAAACTTCGTATTAGGTATGTATGTGCAAAGGAAACAGCAACGTAGAGGCCTATAGGCGCTATTGTTAGGATATTTGTCCTGCAAACCGCATGCTGAAATTTGATCCCCAGTGTTGGAGGTGGAGCCTAATGGGAGGTGCTTGGGTCGTGGGGGCGGATCCCTCAGGAATAGATTAATGCCCTCCCCTGAGAGAGTGGGGAGTTCTTGCTCTGTCAGTTCCCTTGAGAGCTGGCTGTTTAAAAGAGCCTGGCACCTCTCCTCTCTCCCTCACCTCCTCTCTCGAGCGTGACTTCTGCACTCACCAGCTCCCTTCACCTTCTGCTGAGAGTGCAAGCAGCCCATGGTCCTTACCACATGCTGATGCCCCATCTGGACATTTTCCAGCCATCAGAATCATGAGCCAAAGAAGCCACTTTTCTTAAATTGCCAGGCTTCTGTATTCCTTTAGAGCAACACGAACAGACTCAGACAATAAGGTTCGGTACTATCTGAGGTTCCAGGCATCCACTGGGGAGTCTTGGAACATATCCCCTGGGAAAGGGAGCTCTACTGTATCAAGCCTTCCTTTGTCACCTTCCCAAATAACTCTTTCCACGGGCACTTTCTCAATTTTTGCCTAATTTCCACATATACGAATTGAGGCCCAGGCTGTGCGAGGCACTGAGAGGTTACCATGATGGATTGACAGAGTTTCTCTCCTGGAAGAGGAGCTGGGGAATTCTGCCTGGGAAGTGTCTGGGGACAGGGAGGGGACAGACAGCTATTAAAGCTCAGGAGAAGCCAGAAAGGAGATCGTGTCTGAGTTGGGGGCTGGAGGGAAGTGTAATGAGAATTCAGACCTGAGCAGAAATGGAGGCATCATTGGAGAGGAGACGGAGCAAATCCTGCAGTCAAAGCAGAGGCCGGGCTGGGAGGAATCCAGAGGTGCTCATGGGAAGGCAGCATCGGTGCTGGGAGGAGTCGGAGCTGTTCTCCAGCCTCTGCTCCCCAACACGGTCCTGCCTCCCCAGTGCGTTCCTGCCTTGGTGCTGAGTGGCCTGCAGGCTCCTTGACATTTGTCTTTCCACCAGGCACCTAGCATCATTCCTGGACTTCCATCTAGTGAATAAACGGGAACCATCTTTCCTGTTACAAGCATCCATCAAAGGATCTGAGCAGAGGAACGATGTGGTCGGATGGGAGCTTTAGGGAAGTATCTTCACCATCCGATGAGAGAGAGAGGCTAGAAGGGACAAGGAAGGCAGAAGGTGGGTTAGGAGCTGATTGTGATAATCCCCTCGGTCTGGCTCCTCCAGCACTGAGGTATTGCCCAGTCCCAATCCCCTCCATCTGAAGACCTGACCACAAGCCCAGTCTCAGTGGCCCAGCTGTGGCCACATACCTCGAGCACCCCTGAGCTGGCCTGGACCTTCTCATCCTCTCAGCCAGTGATTTGAGTCTGAGCCTCAAGCCTGGCTATCACTGCATCCGTTCAGGTCACAGGTATTACTGCACACCTGCTCTGTGCCAGGCAGCTCCTCACCCACTGAGCCCCAGAGGGTGTTCCCCTTGTGCTTTTGTTGGCACTTTTGGTGACAGAGGCGGCTGGTCACTTGTGAGGTCCTGGGAGTGTCTCTATGCTCACTCGCTTCGCAGCAGGCAAACCTGCCCCGGGGAGGGTACAGGAGCCCTGAGGCAACCTCTTTAGCTTGGTTGTGGAGACTCATTCTTCTTACCTTGGGAGCTTACAGGTTGTAAAAAGGTGAGGGAACGGGCTTGGAGAGGATCTATGTGCAGCCCTCCGAAGAAGTGCTGGGCCTTTCTGACTTGGAATCCCTGGTCCTTATCAGGCCCACGTGTGGTGGGTAAAGAGGTCTCCTGCCAAGGTACCTTTCTTTGTTCCCAACTTCCCCTGCCTGGGCTTAAGTAGGGAAATCCTTGGGTCCATGAAAAGCAGCTGTAGTAAAGGTAGAGCTTCTCGTACACATGACCCACCCAGCCTCCAGCCCCTCAGGAAATGCCATGTGTAAGGACACACAGGTGGACCAAGGCAGCCAGACTGGGTTCTTGCCCCTTTGTGTGGAGCTCTTTCAGGCACTGCCCTCTCCTGGGCATCCCCTTTGCTGGCAGACCAGAAGCAGCTTCCGCAGGTGGCACTCTGCAAAAGGCTCGCTTTCCATTCCTCAGCCCTCCTGTCATCTGGCTGCTGCTGCTGCCTTCCTACCTTCTCACTTGCCCCTTCCTTAATGCCCATCTGTTTGTCTCTGTTTTTCTGCTCCACTGCTTATACCCCAGACCCCAGCATTGCTGGTTCATTCCCTGGTGGTTCGAGTCCAAAGAGATTGCCCACTCCCTAGGGAGTGGCTAGGGAGGCTCCTCTTTGCTTATCCAGACCTGCAGATGAGTGAAAAGCCACAGAGAAGATTGCGTGGTTTGCAAACTAAGAAAAGAAGAGGTTGACCCCTATTAAATACACTGACTCTTAAAAACTACTCTAATTTGGAAGCAAAAAAGGAACTATCGAAGGATCCTTATTCCTCCCTGAGAAATATTGCTGTCTCCCACTGTTGCTCTGAAAGAACTAACTCATTGGTAAAGGGCTTCCAAGCAAATGTTATGCAGGACCTGTCAGGAGCTTGGACTTCACCTGTTAAAGAGTGGACCACCATTAGGAAGCATGGCTTGCAAGCCGGGGAGGCAGGTGATGGCTCTGGAACCCCTGGAACCCCATGGTGACATTCATGGGAGCAGTACCTCCCCACATGGGGATGGGTTCTCCTGAGCAGGTGGACACTCCACGGCAGGGGCTTGCAGTCTGGTTTCCTAACCATGTTCTCAATGGGACAGAGTCCAAGTTTCAGAGTGCAGAATCCTGACTCTGCCAGTTAGGACAGCCTGGAAAGCCCTGAGAGAAGCCTCAGGAAAAGTTGATCTTCGTGGAATAAAATTATTTTCCTGCACATGGCCTCTGAGTATCCAAGGGCCCCAACGCTCCTGGCAGCTTTCCGAGTGGGAGTGACTATTCTTTAGAAAGAATTGATGCCATGTAGTAACTGGCTCCCCAGCCTGAACACAAGAGCGGGAGGGAAGAGCTGAACAATTACTCCATTGAAATCATCTTCACGTGCACTGCAGTGTGGGAAGGTGGTTTGATAAAGCCTGGCTAATGGTAAATCTCTGAAAGGATTAAAGGGTTGATTCATTAATAATTACCTGCAGTACTATTTGCGATTCTGTTGCCCAAGACAACATTCTTTGGGCAGCTTTCTTTTCACAGTCATTAAGAAATTATTAATAATTGTGATTTCGTGAGAAATTATTAATGACTTCTTAATGGAAGCGGAGAGAAAGCTGACCTAACAAAACTGTTGTCTTGAGCAGCAGAATTGAAAATAGCCTTGTAGTTAATTATTCTTAAAGTCAGTTATAGAGATACTCATTTTTTCTTTAAGTAAAATACATATTGTAGAATAGACACCCAAGTAATACGATCTTGAATTATACAGCCAGGATTTTTAAACACTTTATTGTTGCTCCCATAAATTCCCCAACTACCAAAATTTATGCTGGGAAAATTAATCCTTCCTATCTTGCTTTCTTGGGTCTCTAGAATTCTCTTCCTTTCTGCCCTCAAAAGGATGTGATCTGCCACATTTCCAAACACCCACTTCCCCTCTTGCAATCTCTGTCTTGGTGGTTATGTCCTTTCTGGAATATAATTGTGGATGAACTTGCTTTGCCATCTCACTAAATTATTATTCCCTGAGGGGCACTAGGGCTAGGACATCTATACTTTGTATTAAACACTGTGTGGTTTATCCACAACACACACTTGGTAAATGTTTCTGAAATGACTACTAAAGCCCCAAATCAAAATGTGGTCACTCCCATGGTGTGCAATGGAAAACTGGCCCTCAAAGAAGCCACACTGAGCATCCAAGACCTGGGTACTACAGCCCCCAGTTGAAATCTTAATTTTAGTTCTCATCCAAACTATAAAGCTAGGAAGCTTTGGCTCCTTCCCTAAAGAAGCCACATTTCCCGCTCATTGCCATGCGCCCTAATTGGAAGGAGAACTCGCATTTTTTTCCTGAATCCAAAGTCCTAGTCTGGAAGTGGTGCTGTTCTCTACACCTTCGTCCATGTCCTATCCTCTCAGCCAGTTTCTCCTCCCTAAACCAATGGACATCTTGAGAGCTCAAGTTTTCATGTTCCTGTGGGAAGTTTTTAGACAGACAAAATTAGGAGATGTGGGATATGGAGGACAGAAAAAGTTAGACGGAGGGTCAGTACGACTATAAGATCAAATAAAGAAAGATGCAGTTGGTGTTTTTATTTTAATTTTTTTCACCCTGGGAATTGTTTGGTGTTTTTGTTTTTTGAGACAGGGTCTCTGTCATCTGGGCTGGAGTGCAGTGGTGCCACCATAGCTCACTGCAACCTCTGCTTCCCAGGCTCAAGCAATCCTCTTACCTCAGACTCCAGAAGATCTGGGACTACAAGACTCTTGCCACCACGCCTGGCTAATTTTTGTAATTTTTGTAGAGAAGAGGTTTCACCATGTTACCTAGGCTGGCCTCGAACTCCTGAGCTCCAGCAAGCCACCTGCCTTGGCTTCCCCAAGTGCTGGATTACCGGCATGAGCCACCTCGCCCAGCCGCGGTTAGTGTTTTTAAGTATGAAGAAAATAAATGTATTGCATCTGCTATCTGGTTCCATGTGCTGTAACTAGAGACAAAATAATCCTTGAAGGAACCTGCAAACTTACTTTCAAATGTTTTTCGCTAGGTGGTAACTCAGGCAAGCATAGCGGGTGTGACAGTACCGGTTTTCTTTGTAAATCGGATATGAGATGAGAAGCAAAATGCGTAAGGATGCCTCCACTAAAAGAGGTCAGAAGAAAGATGGAGGCGGTAGCGCACATAAGACAAGTTAGCAGAGGAGGGGGAAGGTGATGTGGAGGGAAATGAGGTTTGAAAAATTAACTGAAGAACATACGTGGGCAAAGGAATTTAAAGATAGGCTATATTTTGACTAAGCAGATTTAGTCAGACAACAAGGACAAAAGTCCCCTCAAAATTAATTTCAATAAACGTTATTCTTTTTTATTACAGTTTTCAAATTTATATATAATAGTTGTGCATATTTTGGGGGTACGTGTGAGATTCTGATACTTGTCTACAGTGTGTGATGCTCAAGTCCAGGTGATTGGGGTATTCCTCAGCTCAGATGCTTATCCTTTCTTTGTGATGGGAACATTATAATTCTTCTCTTCTAGTCATTTTGAAATTTACAATAAACAACTGTTAACTGTAATTTTCCTACTGTACTGTCAAATACAATGAACATAATTCTTAATGACAGACATCAGAACTTAGAAGTTTTCAAAATGGGAGCAGAGCAAGTTTTGATCAAATATACACATTCTTAACTTGTGAACTGACCACCCCAATCAAAACAGATTTGAGCAGCACTCAACATGAGATGACATGTTGGAAACCACAAAGGAAGTGGCTGGTGGGAAGGTGGAGGGAGGGATGGGGAAGCCCCCGGGAGGCCTGGAGCCAGCCCTCAAACTCAAAGCCACAGCCAAGTGGACTACGGACAGCCACCCTTTGCTGGAAGCATCAAAGCCTTGTACAGAAGAGGTCCAGCTCTGATGCCCACACTATCCGCAAATGTTAATTATTCTCAGTGAATCCCAGAGCAAACTTGAGAACAATGAACGAAGCCTTCAATTACACTTTTCAGCATTCTTGACCCTCCCCTCTGCAAACACTTGTTTGTGTTATAGTTAAGTTTTGAGTTACAGATGGTCGACATGGGGGATGGATTCAAATGATTCAGCTAAATTTCAAAAATTCTCAACCTAGAGATCAAGTTTGAAATCAATATGGATCTAGAACAAGCTGAGAAAACAATTCTAAGAGATTTAGAGGAACAAAAATGTATTTCTTCTCCCCAGCCCTCAACTACTCCGTGATTTTGTTCTAAGTGGCCTGCTGCACTTTTGTAAAACAAAAAGATCACCCAAACCTCTAGTATTCGGGGGCCTATATAATCAGCGGGCAGAGTGAATTTTCCTTTCTTTCTATGGACCAAGAAGAGCCTCATACACCCAACTCTGGCCTCACTCGATTGTTTTTAGCCTGATGATGAACTTCTATTAAACTCAGAATTTCTTTGTACCAAAGAAGGGTCATGGGTGTTTAACAGACATAAAATCTACACTAAGTGGGAGTCCTGGGCCAGCCTCTGCGGTCTGTGCGTGGTGAGAGGGAATCCTGCATAGTCCATCTGCTGCAGAAGAAGCTTCCAGAAAGGAAGAGAGGCCAGCCAGAGACAGAAGCTCATCCTCCCACATCTCTCTAAATGATCCTGGTTTCTGCTTTCCTGCTCCCAGAACCATTCAGATCTCCTCTTACCCTCTATTTTGCTATTGACTTGTAGAGACAAGGCCCACTTGGGTCTGCCTAATATAGAATTCCCTGTGCTAGAGCCAGTGCTATATTAGTGAGTGTATGGTGATTTTCTCTGTCCTCTTTATAAATGAAAAAACTAAAGGTAATTACAATAAGAACTTCGCTTTTAAAAATTAAGCTCTTAATAAGTACCATGAACTATTCTCTCCCCCCACCTCTCTCTCTCTCTCTCTCTCTTTTTCTTTTTAGACGAAGTCTTGCTCTGTTGCCAGGCTGGAGTGCAGTGGTGCAATCTCAGCTCAGTGCAACCTCCACCTCCCGGGTTCAAGTGATTTTCCTGCCTCAGCCTCCCAGGTAGCTGGGACTATAGGTGCCTGCCACCACGCTCAGCTAATTTTTGTATTTTTAGTAGAGACGGGGTTTCACTGTGTTAGCCAGGATGGTCTTAATCTCTTGACTTCATGATCCGCCCGCCTCAGCCTCCCAAAGTGCTGGGATTACAGGCATGAGCCACCGCGCCCGGCCTCTCAGTTTTACAAACATTACCTTATTTGAATTTCACAAACAACCTGAGTGGTTATGAGCTGGGTAGTGTTGCCATTATTAATCTATAAATGAGGAAACTGAAGCTCAGAGAGGCTTATTTATTCCCCCAAGGCCACACAGCTAGTAAGTGATGGAGCCCAGATGAAAGCTACTCAGTCTGACTCCAAAATCTCTCTGTCTCCCTCATCTCTACCCGCCCACCTTAACCACCATGGTAAGTTGGTTATCTAAAGGTACAAATCGGAGTTTTAATATTTATTTTTGTTCATGTGAAAAATAAACCCCAGGACATTTGAGCCATAAAAGCATCAGACCCACCCTTGGATTGTTCTGCAAAATCAATGCAGAGAAAGCAGAAAGGCTTTCATTGAACCATATAGCTAAAAATAAAAGGCCCAACGAGCAAAGATTCCCTAGTGCTGGGCTGGAGAGGGCATCAGGGAAGTGGAAGCAGAGAGAGGTGCCCTGCACCTCACACATGTGCAGGGCAGCAGCAGCTTAGCTGCGGAGCCCCAGGTGCTCCTCTTCCTGCCCCGACACCTGAGCTCACATTCTCCTCTGCTGCTTGCCTCTTAGCACTCAAGCTGAGGCATCACGACCACATCCCAGAGGGCAAATGGCAGACAGTTAAGGAGCTGAGCAGCCAACTGGGGTTTCTGCTTCGTCCCCAGAAGCCCCACCAGCAACTTCTGTAGACCTGCCCATGGCCAGGACCTCGTCATAAAGCCTCCCCTGGATGGGGGCCAGCCTCTTACAACTGTCCACCCAACCGGGGTGCTCGCAGGTGTCAGGCAGGACTCAGCAGCAGAGAGACAGGTCTTTCTGAAAGCAGAAAGGGAGTGCTCACGGGGAATTACATGACTCCCGGAATCATTAGGAGGCAGGTTCGCTTCCCAAAGCCATACCACAGGGCTGGATGGGGAAGGACCTGCCTTCTGCTACAAGGAGGGAGGCCCCAGTGACACCGGGAAGCCAGGGCTAAAACTGTAGTGCTTTTTCTAGGAGCTCTGCCCCTACATGGGTGTGTCCCTCCCTGCCTCTGTGTCTCAGCTTAACCCAGCCTCAAATTTAGTCTCATGACAGAGAGATGGGACTAACCTGATTGGCAGAACCCACATCACATCCAGAACCCTAGCACAAAGGTGCTTGGAAGTGCGGTCTTGCTTTTCAGCTGTTGCAGAACTGAAAGCACAGAGGAGGAAGCTGGAGTGGATGCCACGTACCCCCAGTAGCCGCAAGTTAGCAAAGGAAGAAGAGTCCTATTTACAGAGGCCTTTGGCTTCTGCGCTACTGGTGGTGGGGGAAGGGAAAGGGAAGGGCATTGGGGTAAAAACAACCCTTCTTGCTTTCCTGTATAGAGGACTCAGGATGTGGTTGGTGAGCCCATCATCTGGGGAGAAGCATGAAGGGGAAAGGGGGAAGAAAAGCTTCAAAAGAAACATGGCTGAAGGGTTCCTGTCGTGGAGATGAAGGGGTCATGCTGGCCATGACACTTACCCTATTGCTCCACAGACCTGGAGCGATTGACTTCTCTTGTGCACACCAGCGAGTGGGAGGGATGAGGGGACGAGGACACAGGCCTGCCTTGAAGACCTTGCACCCAATGAGAAAGCTAGAGCTGAGAAGCGCAAAGACAGAACGGAACAAGCAGGGTCCTTACAGTGCTACAGATGGGTAAGCTGAGGCCTGGGGGCGACCACCTGCCTGGCATCCTGTGCCGACCTCCACCCGCCAGCAGGCTACTTCCACAGTGATCCAGGCTTCAGAGCATCTCAGGTTCCAGAGAGGCTCCAAAATGCACCCACTCAAAGGCTGTTTTACTGGAAATGTTCATGAGAATCGATTCCATTACTATTTAGATTTTCAAGGCACACCACAGGGTGAAGTTTAACCTGTAGCAAAACTTTTCTCAAGCCTTTTTCTCCAGCTCTCTCACTGATTCTCCAAAACTTCTCTCTTACTCTCTGCTCCCAGCAAAGCCTTGCCTCCTGGCAGCCCATGTGGGTGCCTGATTTTCTTCTCTATTTCTTTTATTTTACCTGTACTCTTAATTCTATCCTGCAAGGGAATCCCTGATTCTTCTGCCGTAATTCCCAACTGTCTCCACACCACCTGCCTTCTTGATTCTCTATTTCTCTTTCTCTCTCTGCCTTGCCCTGATTATAAATGGTAAAAGCTGAGAAATGGAGCTGGCCAAGATAGAATCCACTTTGGTGGGTGAAGGGCAGAGGGATTATGAAGGCTCCTATTGCAAACAATCATGGTCTCTGTTCGCTCCCATAGCAAAGAGAGGAAACGTGAATCTCCTTCTCTTGAGCAGGTAGCTTGGCTTTCACAATCCTTCTTAGGAGCTCTCCATAAATGTCTGAATCTCAGCAAATGTGGCCCCCCACCTCCTCCCCATCTCTGCCCTTGAACACTTGGAAGATCTTTAGAACATATCATCACTTGCCCAGGTTCATGGCAAAAGCAGAACTAAGTTAGAAACACCTGGCTCTCAGCCTCTCTACCTTCACCCCTGGCTGCTTCTGCTGTCAAACTCCTCTGAGTTTTTAAGTACAAAATGTGACACGTTCTGGGGTTGACCAAGCTGGAAACCAGCAG